TTCCTGCTGCTAGAAAACTGTGCAAACAAACTGGAACTCAGTTAAGAGAGGTAATAGTGTTCTGGAGAAGCAGCCTCCTTTTTCATTGCTAAATAAAGCATTCTTCTGCCTCAGAGCTAATTTTCTAATAAATGAATAGGATCTCTGCCGCTCTTCAGTTTTTTGTCTCCTCACAGGAAAAAATTCTCAGGAGGCCTTCACTGGCTATGGCAAGTGAATTAATTACTCATTTTTTTATCGTTCATAAAAGGCCTTTTTTTGGGATAAGAATAGTATCATCTGAGAGTGCATAATGCTGGATTTTATGCAGGTGGCATTGCAACTTCACTGCATTCTTCCTCCATGCCTCAGTAAATGGAAATAAATTAAAATTGGTACTAGCATCCTACAGACTTGAAACTAAAATGTCTTTTTTTCCCTCAGAATTCCGGACTAGATGCTGTCTAATGCCTCTTCCAGTTCTAACACATTGCATTTCTTGAATTCAGCTTCCACCTCAGTTGTGACTGCCATTTTTGCCCCTTTATTCCTGTCTAAGCTATGTTATCTTGGCTTTCTCTAACAATCACTATCCTCACTGAAAGCTGTCAGAGTTTTATTTTAATTTTGGACCGCACTGAAGTTTTTAGCCTTTAGCCAGTCTTCCTTATGCAGTAGCCCCACTTACCTTGTTCTTTTTTGGTATACACAGCACTGTGCTACAGCTTTATTTCTTAGCAAAGTCTTAACTCGGTTTTGGCAGTTCTTACCTTGCTGGATTTTCTGGCAGCCAGCAGATAGCTTTCCCATATAACTAAGCCATTTTCTCCCCTGCCCCCCCGCCTTTTTTAATGAGTCTGTTTACTTCTGTTACTGTTTTGTGGTTATCTGGATGTGGTGATTATTCAGGGGGAGTGTATTTTTTTTGTTCTTTCATGTTGAGGAAGCTTTTTAAAAAAAAAAAAAAGAAATAACCCATTGACTTGTGTTTAAGTTACTCCAGGTGCCTTCTCCAATAACTGGCCTAACTTTATCTCAAGAAAAGCTTTTCTAAAAATCTTTGATGATCTGTTGTTTCTTCTTCTAAGTAAGTTAAGTCAAATCAACTTATCCCGCTAAATCAAGCTCATTTTCTCTGTACACCTCTTCCCTTGTGACTGCTTGGCAAAGCTCTTAGAGTAGAGAGAGAACATTTTCTCTTTGTTTGTGGACCCATTAACGTGTTTAAGTCTGAAGCTGAGTTAGAAACCAGGATGTTTCAAGCAATACTAGTACTTAATGAAAAATGCGCCTGAAAAGACTTAGTAGATGTGTCCAAGTAAGCTCTGTACTGAATAATTCCCGTTTTGAGTTATCTGCAGGCTGTTGGATGACCTGGTTCTTAACGCTGGGCTTCAGAGAAATGTCTTTTGGGCTTTGGAAGGACTATGTATTCCTCGGAGACGCTCACTGATCTCCTCTTTGGCTTTATAGTGGAGGGCAGATTTTTTTTCCCTGCTGTCCCATTGGACTTTCCCTGTCTTAATTTCCTTTTGCTGCTGCTCCTTTCTCTTGGATTTCCCAGGTAATCATGCAACTGTCTCACAGTGATGGTAGTAATGGTCATCTGAAGTTAGACCATTAAAGAGACATCACTAACAGTGGAGTTATGAACTGGAGAACAAGAAGACTAGTTGAAGGGAACAGAGAATACAAGAGAGACTTACTATAGCAATACCAGATTGTTGTAACAGGAATGTGGTTTTGCTCATTGTTGAATGAGAGTTTTTGACTGCCCTTTCATATCTTGTCTAGAATGTAGATAGTAAAACCATGCGTGACCAGCGGTTAGACATGCAGAGAAGAGCAGCAGAGACTGGTGACGATGACCTCATTCCGTTTGGAGACCGACCAACTGTGTCGAGATTTGGGGCTATCTCTCGTACTTCCAAAGCGATGTACCAGAATTCCGGTCCCATGCAGGCCATGGCAGTTCAGGGAGCTACCACCAAATCAATCATTTCAGGTATGATGCATGCTCTTGGATTTTGCTGGCTGTTGCTATTTTCTTCAATGCTGCAGTGTAGTGCAAGTTGAGGACAGACCCTGTCAACTTATTTCTTGTCTTAGAAATACAGGTGAGATGTATGTTTTGCCACTAAAAATAACTCTAGGTAGGAGCTATTCTGCACTGAGAAACCTGAAGAATAAGGCTGCCACTGCTTCCTGTTCCAAGGACAGGTTTGTGCATAGGTAGTGTATGTTGTAATATATTAATGTTAGTTTGTTTTAGTGCCCCTGTCCACCTGAGTGTCTGAACTCCTTCACAAACCTGTAGACTCTGGAAGGCTGTAGCAAATCTTGTTGGACATGCAGGAAGAGTCGTGCATTATGGACACGAGACTGGTCACACATAGTATTTTTGTGCTCATTTCAGCAGAAGAAACATTAGATCTTCCCTACTCTTGGAGTGCTGGCCCTCCTGGCTATTCTCTTATTTCTGTCCAGTACTGTGTCTCGACTGAACCACTTGCAGGATAGTTTTGTAGTAATTAACATGGTTTTCTTTCTTTTCACTGGCAGACTATAATCCTTATGGAACTCACGGTGGCTGGGGAGGCTCTCCATATTCTCCTCATCAAAATATACCTTCTCAGGGACGCTTCAATGACAGGTAGGATTGCTTATTTTTTCTTTGCTTTTTTCTAGATTTTCTTTATCTGTTTTTTCTGTGCTAGCTGAGTAAAGCTTTTCTTGGAAATCTCCTTATTTTTGCTTTTCTGATCCCAAAGGGAGAGACTGTCCATGTCAGATGTTGCTGGTCATGGGAAACAGTTGCCCTCAGCTGAACGAGAGCAGCAGCTGCGCATGGAGCTGCAGCAAGTAGACCATCAGATTAGCCAGCAGACACAGATGCGAGGACTGGAGGTTGGTACGAACGTTTGGAAGAGCAGCGAGGGGTGGTAGGGAGAGAGATGAAGATAGTAAAGCTGCTTTTCGTTTGTTGATGATCTTTCTCTGACTGTAATGACATTCAGCAGCAACACTTACTTCTGTGGTGCCAGGCATCAGGACTATGGTACAAGTGTAAACCTCTCTGCTAAGCAGCAGACACTTCCCTGCACTTCACGTGCAAATCAACATCATGCTTGAATCTGCACTCTGTGCTCATTCATTTTGCTTTCATTCTCTCTCTCACTCCCCTCTTTCTGTTCATTTGTTAACTCGGAGGCAAACTTGTGGTGTAGTTACCTGTTCCTCTTGGTTTTACTGCCACTGAAAAATGTCTGATTTTATGTACAGAAAGCTATGATCTTCATCTGTTTTATGTTTTGCTTTGTGTTGTACCTGTTTCTTCCTAAATAGTGCAAGCCACAAGTGTCAAAAAAAAAAGAGATTTAGCTTGAGAAGTTAAAGCATAATATTTTGTCTCTTTGCTTAGAAGAAATGTAGTCACTTTCAGCATGAGGAGAGATGGGAACTTGCATTTGTAAAAAAATAATGAGCCAAAATCTTTGTTTCTATTTTGTAAGACACAGGAGAAATGTCAAGGCACAGCGAAATAATTTTTAGCAAAGCTTTAGTTAGTTACTTTTTTTCCTCCTAGGAAAAATCAGTAAGTATTTACCAGAAAACTATTCTAGGTACCTCAGCAACTCTTCATATTAATGTTTTCCCAGAAGGAATTGCAGTAAGTAGCAGATAGCAGCCTCTGCTGAAACTGTGGTTACCTAAAAACATGTGTTATATAGGAGGGTTATTGCAGATTAGTTGTAAGAGCTGTAAGATTTTGATTGGAACCTTGTTGAACATGGCGAGAAGGCATTGGTTTTGCAAATAAGCAATACTCTAGAGTTATGGCCTAGAGCTCTCTGTGCTTGGTGTGTTGTGTGCTCAGTTGTGTATGTGCTTGGCTTTATGCATTTAGGCTGTTAGTAACAGGCTGCTGTTGCAGAGGGAGGCGACTACCCTGGCAGGCCAACCACAGCCCCCACCCCCACCTCCCAAGTGGCCTGGGATGATCTCAAGTGAACAGCTGAGCTTGGAGCTACACCAGGTGGAAAGGGAAATTGGGAAGAGAACCCGTGAGCTGAGCATGGTGAGTGCTGTGGGGGTGGGAGGCAGAGGTGGAGCGGAGAGCCGAGTAGCTGGCTGCAGCCCTCTCACCCTGGCAGAAAGGCACTCTGCTGGATGGCCACAGCTTGAGTCATCCATCTCCCTCTTCACCTCTTTACTCTTCAAAACCTCCTGAGAAATTTGTTTATTCTTCTTTGTGAAGAATTTGAATTCTAGCCACTTAAAAACACTCTGCTGTTATTTTGTTGCAATTTGAAAATTAGCGTGGCACTGAATTTCTTGAAAACTATGAATTGTCTCCAAGGTCACTGTGCCGTGAGCTGCATAAACTGCTTTAACATAGAAGTCATCATCTGCAGGTACAGGCTAGTATTTAGAAGTCTGTGTGCTGTTACAGTCTATGGTCTTTGCTGCTTGTTACAAGAATCATCCCTTCCTTTGGGGAAATACTGTGCCCTGAGAGGATGCGCGTACCTTACTGAGTCTGTTTTCTTGTCTCATGGCTTTTGTGGGTTACACTGTGTGATTCCAGTTTACAGGCCTTCAGCATCGGTCCCAAAGGATGAAGTCTGACATTCTTTTAACACAGTGTTAAAGGATTTTTCTTCTGTCTTTTTTTTTTTTAAAGGAGAGTCAGTCTTCACTGGATTTAAAAAACAAACTGGGCACCACTAAACAGACAGAAAACGGACAATTAGAACCGCAGAGCAAGGTTCCAGCTGAGGACCTCGCACTGACATTCAGGTAACTTGAGTCTTCAACCTTTCTTTGTATAACAGGAGAATGTCTTCATCAGCATCACTCTGGTATATGAGGCTGCTTGCCTCACGTTTCTGATGTGAAAGCATCTGCTAGAAAAAGGTTATACAAATCAAGTTTCTATAGTGCAAGCATGAATTAAGAGCCTTTTCAGCTGTTGAGTCCGTGAGTAGAATGAGAATATACCGTTAGATGCAACAGAAAAATTGCAATGTTTGTAAGACAAGAAGACCATCTAGTTAATATTGGATGATGAGTAGGAAGGAGCAGGAGATGAGCAAGAACCATAAAAGAAATCTTTATCTGCTGTTTTAGTTTCAAAGAAAATTGTTCCAAATGTGAGAGGAAAGTTATTCCATCCTGCTAAGTTTGTGATGTGGATGTTGTCTAGGAAGGTACGTAACTTCCAAACAAAGTTCACTTTTATTTGTAGGCAGTAATTTTTATCTGTGTAGATGCTGGGATTGATTTTTAAACTTACATTTGGTAGTTTATATAAGATGTTGGCTGGGAATGCCGGAATTCTCTACAGCAAGCATTTTTAGATGGCTGCAAGCATCTGCATGTATTCAGACTAACACATTCAACAGAAAAGCTCAGATATTTCATTAAGTTTATATAACTTCGTGCAAGCAGTTTGGAATCTGAATATTTATTCAGACGGTGTATTTATTCAGAAAATTTATCCCCCTAAATGGCTTTTGAAGTCTGCACTATCCTTCTATAACCAATCCTAGAGTTCTGTGCTGCACCATTAGATTGAGGCCTCCAGAGCAGAAATTATTTTTTCTATGTGAAATTAAAACAACCATTTTTAATTTAAAAAAATACAGATAAATGATCCAGATAAGTTAAATTATCTGGAATGTGTGCATTGTACAGATCAATACTTTACATTTTGTGGCATACACTGAAATACTTTGCAAAATATAACTATATAACTAATCTCGAACCTTAAAAATATATAGTCTTGTTTTCAATTAGCCTTGTATTAGTTCTTTTCCTAAGTACCTGCAGCATACCAAACAACCTGTTTATTATACGAGTCTTTGCATGTTTACGTGTGTTCACAACTGTTCATTGCGACACGGCAGCAACAAGTATTGAAGTCCTTTTCATTAAAATAAATGAAAAATCTCAGTAATTCCTTCTCCTCACCCCCTACCCCTTTCTTCTCACAACTTACTTTCAGCAGTGATGTTCCAAATGGATCAGCCTTGACACAAGAGAACATTGGCCTCCTGTCAAACAAGACTGCATCCCTCAACCTGTCGGAGGACCCAGAGGGAGGAGGAGACAACCACGACTCCCAGAGAGCGGGAGTTACGCCCACGTCTGCTCCATGAAGTGAGGCCAGCGTACCCCAGAGTTTCTTTTGCTGGGGTGTTGTTAGCTTCCATCACGTTTTTTTCCAGGGGTGATTGGAGAAACCCAGGAGCAACAGCAGTAGCAGAGAAGCAGGTCCAGAGGCAATGTGCACAAACACAACTACTAGAAACAAATCCTGCACATAGTTCACATTAACGCATTTTTTAATTAAAAAAAATGAAAATTAGCAGTATCTGCAAGCAATTCAAATTAAATTTGTTTTTGTTCTGTGAATGAACTTTATTTTAATAACTTTGGACGCCTTGGATCCCAGGGCTTAAAACAAAAAGATATTATATATATACTCTGTTTGATTAATTGTATGATCTTAATGAAGTAGGTTTTTTCTTTTATTTTGGTATTATTACATACCCAGTGCATAATTTCTTATCACCTTAACTTCTCAATGACTAAAACAACCTGGCCGCTTCCTAATATGGTTTAAGGGTAAACAAGGAATGAGGGTTGGAGAGTAGCTGTGAATTAGTGTCAAAAGATGTGCAGCAAACTTCGTAAAACAATTCCTCCCATTGTGGCTAGGAACTGAACCCTAGCTTGCATGAGTCTGCTTGCTTAAATAATTTAAGTTTAAACTACAAGTGACAGAATCTTTGCAGTGCAAGAGGTGCAGTCTTTCATGTATGTCCCAGCACAGAATGTGTAATTAAAGAGGACAACAAAATAAGTGTCCAACAGGCTTTGTTTAATTAGACGGTGACTGGCCTTTTCTGTATTTCTGTAGCCCAGTCTGCTGCAGCATGGGTGTTTCTGAAGCTGGTTGGCTGGGGCTTGTGGTGGAGAGGCTTAACTAACCAGTGAAGGCTGCACAGCGGTGGCTAAGGCTGAACCTCTAGAAACTGGAAGCAGAGGGAACATCAGGTTATGCAGTTGCTGGGAGGATGTAGCTGCTGATGAGCTGGTGAGCCTTGTTCGTTCATTCAGCTATGCCTTTAAAACATGTTTACCTAAAGTCCATATGATTTAAGTTGATACAGGCAGACTTACTGACCTATCTGCCTTTTGAAACAGGTCTTTCATGCATGCCTCCTTCTCAGCAACTCTTTGCCTTTGTTTTTTCTTCATTTCTATTTTGTATTATTACTAAAACTTAATATTTTATCTACAACCTGAATTTTTCTTTCGTTCAGTGAGTCATCAGTTATTTAATTGTAATGCTGTTTGTGAGGGCCTTTTACTGAAGGAGACCAACATCTTTGATTTGTGCACATCAGTGATGGCGGTCTTTAAAAAGCAGGGGAAATTTTGTTTCTTTTTTAGAGTTGGCATTGTTTAATGTCTGTGTGTATTAGAACTTGACAGCTGGGAATCAGTCTGCAGCTTGTCTGCTGCTGCAGTGAACACTTCCTAGATTCCCCTTGCGTAAGGGAAAAGTTGCATTAAAATGACCACCTAAGGTACAGCACAGATCCTGTCAGGAGTAGTCAGAAGTGCTGAAAAGCAAATCTTGATAGATCTAGTGTGCTAATTCTCCCAGTAGGTGCTTTGTAGGCACGAGATGGAGAAGCCTTAAGCCTTTCTAGATGTTCTCTTTAAAAGCTAAAGAAATGAAAGATTTTTGTTCTTGCTGCACATTTTTTGACTCTGGACGCGCACTGGAATGAGACCTTGTATACAAAGAACTCTGGAGAATGATTTTAAAGTGCTGTTCCCTCTGCACCCTCTTGGCCTGTTCTTGTTTTTTCTTTCTGGGTTAGACTACTAAATCAGAAAGCACTGGTTATGTAATAAATTACTGCATTGCTTTGGTTGGGAAAAGCAAGAGTTAATAAATTTTCTTGGTTTTCAGTTTTTTCCTTAACCTTAACTCCTGCTGAGGTCATAGCAACCTTGGGCTAAGCTTTGCATTCATCATACTGTTAAATAAAACAAAACGGGGGGTGGGAGGGGATACAGTCCCACTATTGCCTACCAGTAGGAGAGTCCAAACAGAAGACTCTTTTGAGTAGCAATTATTTAATTTGCCCAGTCAAGGCACCGCGTTTATATACTATTTCACATTGAATTTGATTATGCCCTACAGACCTGGCTGGTCAAGGATTTGATAAACATATTGGCTTGGGATTCGAGCTTTCTTTTTTATTTAAATAAAAATTTATATATAAATATATATATACATATATACGTAGTTATATCTGTATATATATTGGGTATGTTTTAAGAATTTTTTCGCATGAGCGCAGCTGTTGTGATCAAATGTCTGGGAGGTAGAAGCACTGAATGAAAACAAAGGCATTTCTCAGCGCACACGCCCACCCTGTCCGTATGTCTTTACGCAGGTTTATTTCTCTCCTAGTTGAACTTTGGCCTCTTTAATTGCCAAGTGTAGTTTTGATTGAAGCTTGCTTTTTAAATTTTTTTTCTTCCCCCTCTTAACTTTTGGCAAAGAATCATCTTTGCACTAGAACAGCTTCATCTCTCCGTTGCCCACACCCATCCGTATCTCCTACGGGAGGCCTAGCATTCCAGCTGCTGCCCATCGAGCCGAGCAAATCTTGGCTGATGCAGTTTTGAGCCCGTCAGGTCTGTTCCTCCCTTCCCTGCTCTGGGTGTGACCAGGATTAAGGTGTTCCCCTGGCAGCACCTTGCCCTGTGCTCCCATCCTTTCGTGCAGAGCACCCCTATCAGGTCAGCCTTCTTGTCGTCATCTTTAATTAGTTTGCTTCTTCCTGCTGTGGCTTTATTAACACAGGGAGCCCATTTTAGTTGAGATAATTAGTGCAATATTCTAATCAAGCCCAGAATGTACCTTTTTTGACTGCAATAATTCTTGATGTAAAGTCAGTTTTCAAAGACGGTTATATGTTTGAAACTACAGATTCACTTTCAACACTAGGAAGAAAATCTGGAGGGGCAAAAACTCTTTGCCTTTTATTACTTGTACCAGCTACCTTCCTTTCCAGGTTAGTGATTAGGTTTTTCTCCACTTTTGCTCCCAGAAGGAATTCTGCAGTAAAAGCTATTCAGGTTGCTGGCCTACATACGGCGAATGCTTCTGAAACCTGTGGATTAGAAGGGAGACTTACCATTGTGGGTTTTTTTCTCTTTATCCAGCTCTCTGTGCTGTACTTTGTGCATAGTGTCCTTGTTGTGATCAATGTGTCCAGGTGAATGCCCTGTTTGCCCAGTATTATAGTTAGACTTGTTAAATAGTTAGTTTAATATCTACTGACAGTATTGATTTTTGGCTTTGTTTTTTTCCCCTCCTCCTCTTGTCCTTTTTCTGCTTTTTTTGCAGAAGTTTAGTTGATAAAACAAGTCAAACAGCAAAATGCAGTGCATGCTTTTAAGTCTTTCTGGAAGCTGCACTTAAAATCTTCCCTTCTTGTGGAAAAGCATGCTGGTAGAACTGGGAGGACAGGTAGCTCTGCATATAACGAAAGCATTGATGGTTACAGCATATAACCAGGGAATGAGAATTTCAGCATCCTGCTACATTCATGTCTGTAGCCCATCGTTGTCCCGGTTCTAGAGCAGTGCTGGCCACCTCAGTGAAACTGGGCTCAGCAAGACAGTGGATTAGTTCCTTCTACTTGGGCCAAAAGAAACAGCATTACAATGGTGTTAGGGCACTACTGCATCATTTGCTAGATAGGTCAGATTGTCTACTGCAGTAGACAGCTTTGAAACCTCACTGATACCTGGATTTCAGCCCCAGCATGGACAAAGCCCCCCAGATTAGGAAGCGCCAAGAGTCAGGTTAAGCTTTACTATATCAGTGATTGAGTCAGTGTAGAAATGATGTTCGTTTATTCTGTAGTGTTATTTTTCCTCCTCCTTTTGTCAACCTCTCCCTTTCCTAGGACCTAGTTATCTTTTCTTAATAGGAGAAACTTAGGTTTTTTTCTTCTGCTCCCCTTGTATACTATCGTCTCCTGTCCCATTTTAGAGTAGGACTCTTTTTATTTAGGTCAGAGCACCTTTTAAACTTGCAGCACTGTTATCCCCTTTCTGCTCAAGTTCTTCTCTGTCTAGTTTCTTCTGAGCCTTATTCTCTCCCTTCTGTCCATACCTTCCTTCCTTTCCTTCTGTGTCTTGCCCGTTCACCCTCCCCGATTGTGTAACAGTGACAGCTTGCTGCCTCAAAACAGAGCATTCAAAGGAATTCGCTTAGCCAATAACTTCTGTGAAGTTGCCTTTTCTAATGGTGTTATTACTCAGTGATGCACAAATGTGATATTGCCCCTACTGGTAGGCAAACGGGGGGAATCTGTATAAACATGGTAAACTGTTGTTTTTCTTTAAAGGAGAGCCAAAGACTTGTGCTTTACACTTTTTTTTTTTTCCTGGTGTAGCCATTTTGATTGTCAAATCTTTGTAGGGTTTTGTGAGTTGACTGTATTATCCTAATAACAATTTACAAAAGTTAATGATTGTCAAGCCTTATCCATGCGTTGAATTGTGGAAAATCATTCCGTTTAGTCATGCAATTTGCAGTGTACTGAGATGTATCTGGGGTATTCTGACATGTTTTCAGTCTCTCATGCACACTCTCAGCTGATGGATTGGCTCATTTAGAGAGGTTGAAGGAATGTAGAAATTTTATATAATCGAAGAAGCCTTGTCTTTAAGTGCTTGAATTTAAATTGAATACTGATTTAAAATTTCTTCAGTTATAGTAAAAGATAAATCTGTGTTGCAAATGTGACTGACTTTTAAGCCCATTGGAACTAAAAAGAGTTGTCAAACTGTAGTATTACATTAAATTAGATGTGGAAGAAGCAAACTTGTATGGTGATATTATCTCTTGACAGCATAAATTGAGTGAGGTGGGGCAAATTCTATATTAGAAAGAAGGGCTAGGAGTGAGGCTTTTCACTGGTAATACAAGAACGTTGCTTGCATTTCCCTTCCTTAATCGAACTTAAACTCTTGCACGTTTTTCGGTTCAGATAGAAATCTGCAAGTCAGAGTAGCATAAACTGTCATTTCCATTGCCATTTCCATTTATAAATCTGAACTGTAATGAAGCAGACTTACAGGACAGTTGTCTGAAGAACTCCAGTATAAAGTATCTTCAGCTCACTAGCTATTTCAGACCCACTTTTATGGTCCCAAGAAATTCAGTGCTAATAATCAGGAGGCTTAACAGCAGGAGTGCCAGCTCACCTTCCCTGTTTTAAAATGGGGGGAAAACCATAAGCAGCGCACAGGTTTTGTGCTTTTCTGTGCATATGTGGAGAAGTTTTTGTAGTCCTAGAATAGATAGAAGGAGCACAGAGCAAGACTGGGATGTGATGTTACCTTCATATTTTGTCATCGGTCACTTTCCAAACCACACACTTCCTATTGCTGTTCCCATCTCCTAATGTTGGTAGCACCGAGTTA